ATAGTAATTTATATATAGAACCACGTCACGTTTCACTATGATCATTCTTCAGTTGACTGGAGAATCGTCAATTAATATTTTAATAATTTACCTAAATATATTTTTATATAAAATATTATATAAAATATGTTTTTATAATCTCAATTTGCTCTAAACTAAGATTTGAAATTTCATTTGCACTATAAGATCTAATTCTATCAATTTTATCAATTCCAACATATTTGAATAATGTATAAATTGTATTTGCTTTTTGAGTTCTTTTGCGTAAAGTTTCTAATTTAATACCAGGAAGACGTTTAAGAATTTCTTTATAAGCTTCAGTCTTAGCTGTCTTTATAGCTATTCTTTGATTAGCTAGAATTTCTTTAACTCTATTATCAAATTTTTCAGCAAATTTATACCAGCTAAGAATTTCTACTTGAGTATTTTTTATTGTAGACTCTTTTGTACGACATGCACTAACATAAAGATATGCTAAAGATGGTCCATTAATATTTTCATTATTTTGTTCTTCATCAAAACTTATATCCATCATCTCAGTATTATTATTAATAGTTAATAATTCTCTTAATATTCCTCTTGCTTTTTGTAACTTTCTAAGTCTAGCAGATTCTATGGTTGTAGTTGTACTAACAGTTACAATTGATGTAGCTGAAATTGAAGGAATAGGAGTTGTAGATCTAGTTACTAAAGATGAAGTTGCTATATTTGCTGATATAGGTGTTGTAGATATATTAGCAGATGATATAGTAGTAGCAGTTGATGTAGCAATAGGTAATATAGTAGTAGTAGTTGGTGTAGCAATAGGTAATATAGTAGTAGTAGTTGGTGTAACCATAGATAATATAGTAGTAGTAATTTGTTTAGCAGTAGTAGTTGATAAAATAGAAGTAGATAATGAAGAAATAGTAGTTGGTAAAATAGAGTAGATGATGAAGCAATAGTAGTTGGTAAAATAGATATAGCTGATATAGCAGTAGATGCAGTAGTAATTACTAAATAATTAAAATAAAATTATTAATAAATATAATAATAAAATAAATTTTATAAATGAATAATATTAAAAAAATTTAAATTAAATTTTAGTTAAAAATATTTAATATTATTCATATTTATTAAATATATTAGTTAACTAAACTTAAAAATAATTTTAACAATATGAATACTATTAAAAAAAAATCTATTATTGAGCTTTTAATTATATTTTATACTAGATATAGTCTATATAATTTACTAGAGATTAAATCTGATATAAATATAATTAAAAACCCTATAACAAGTTTTTTTTGCTAACATATATAATAACTGATAAGTATAATATACTTGTAAAACTTTAATATAAATAAAATCATACATGATTCTGGATTAATTTTCTGAAAATTATTAGTAATAAAAGAAGTATTCTCTAAGTCTTCATTAAACTCTGCACGACAAATTGGACAATGTGTATCAGTTAAATTTATAAAACACTGTTTATAGAAGAAGTGATAGCAGGACACAATCACAATAGATTTTTGAAGATTAGGACAAATTTTGTCTTGACAAATAATATACTGTTCTTGTACATTTATATCTATAGGACTTTTTTCAGGTGTTTTATAAAAAATAATTTTATAAAGAAACTTGTTTAATGTCTCTATTTTGCGAAAATATGTAAAATAGTTAAACATATTTATATAAAATAAATTGAACCAGAACGATATATAATTATATATATATTGTAATAAGAAAATTTTTAATTGACTGAATTAGAAGATCTAAACTTAAACAGTATCAGAGAGAAGAGGAAACAGAAATTCTTGATAATACAAAGGTCCTGCATACATAATAGTAACTATGTATTAATAAGCATTTAAAGAAATAAGGCAAAAGTTGTAATAGGCTCTGTAGCAAAATAGTAGCGCAAGAACTTTAGTAATATAGAGGCTTTGCAGCTACACTTGCAGGTTAAAAACCTTTAACAATCAGATGTATTTTAGATAATAAGCTTACTGCTTAAATTTAACAAGTATAATTTACTTGTTTTTTTATTAATATCTGATCTTTGTAATACATTATTATAAATTCTCCGAAAAAGTATTTATAGTTACTACCCAAACAGGCTAGAGATAGTGAGATGGTTTAAATTAAAATTGATCTAATAATGCAGCAGCTTTAAATAATTATGTATAGCAGATATAAAGAATTACTTGCAGATTTAAGTAAATCATTAGAAATTAATGAAAATAATGCAGCAACTTTAAATATTTATAAAAAATATTATAAAGAATATTATCGAATTAGTAGCTATAAAGAATCATTTGCAAATTTAAATAACTTATTAGAACAATACAATAGCTATAAATAATCATAAAGAAACTTATCTACAAATAGGCAGATATGAGGAATCATTTGCTGATTTAAATCATCAGCATTAAAAATTAATTACCGTATTCCTTCGAAAATAAGCACCCCTTTTTTGCTATAAGATTGCTTATTTTTAGATAAATTTTCATCTAATAATTTGAATGATTTGATATTTTGTTGCTTATTTCTATTATATAAGAGGTGCTTAATTTTTTCGGGTATATATGAATTGTAGGGAGTGCTTATTTTCGGGAGGTGCTTATTTTCGGAGGAATATAGTAATAAATTAATTTAGTATAGCAAACTGGGCAGAGAAAAAATATTAACTGTTTATTAAATAATAAGGAAATTAATTAATAAATTAATTTAGTATAACAAACTGACGGAGAAAAAATCTTAACTATTTATTAAATAATAAGGTAAATTATTCAGTATAGCAAACTGGCAGAGAAAAACATATTAAGTAATAGTTTGCATGAAGCGATAACTGTTTATTAAATAATAAGAAAATTAATTAATAAATTAATTCAATATAGCAAACTGGGAGAAAAAAATATTAACTGTTTATTAAATAATAAGAAATTAATTAATAAATTAATTCAGTATAACAAACGGGCAGAAAAAAAATATTAACTGTGTATTAAATAATAAGGAAATTAATTAATAAATTAATTCAGTATATATAGCAAACTGGCAGAGAAAAAATATTAAGTAATAGTTCACATGAAGTGATTAAATAATAAGAAATAATTAAAAATATACTAATATAATAATAATTGAATGATAGAAATAATAAATAAAAAATAAATAAAGAAATTAATTAAGGCAAACTTGCAGCAAGAGAAAATGTATATGTACGTATATATTCTAAATATAAAACATTTGTATAACCATATGAATAATTATTTTACAACAGGGTGAAACCCATGCTGTGAATTAGCAAAACCGCTACATAGATCACATGAGGGTAAAATTCACTTTTGTATAATAAAAAATAACTAACATGATCTATTGGGGTATTCGGTCAACTATATTTGACAAAACTATATGTGGTACTATATAAAAATTAATTATTAAGGAGTTTTTTTGAATTTAGTGATCAGGATATTGATAAGGATTATTTATAGTAAAAGATGACTTGCATGTTTTTAGATGTCTAGAGCGAATCGATTTACTTTTTTTGATTGTTTTAGTATAATTCTATTCTTAACATGTTTATAACCAAGTTACATTAAAATTTTTTAACATTAATATTTAAATTAAAAATCTGATTCATATTATGAATGAATTAAAGAAAGATGTCTTCGCTATAGGTAAAAAAATTTTAATATTAGAACATAAAATTTTTAATGTAACTTTGTTATAAATGTTTAAGAATAGAATTATGCTAAATTAATCGAATAATTTAAAGTGATTTGCTCTAAACATCTAAAAATCATGCAAGTCATCTTTTACTATTAAAGCATATATAAAAAGTTATAAATAATCTGATCACTATTCTGATCACTAAATTTAAAAAAACTCCCTAACAATTAATTTTTATATGATACCGCATATAGTTTTGTCAAACATAGTTAACCGAATACCCCAATAGATCATGTTAGCTGTTTTTACTAATTTACAATGCAAGCTATATTATTTGGTCTGGATTCAAAAATAATAGGGCTTGCATTGTAAATTAGTAAAAACTGCTACATAGATCATTGGTAGTGCTTTGCAAAAGCAAATCAAAAGTTTGAGTTTGAAATCAAATATTTGATCAAGTCAAATTTGATCAAATATTTGATTAAATCTAATTCAAATTGATCAAATATGATTGTGAACTAGTTCACGATTATTTATCAGATTGATCATGAAATAGGTAATAGTTATTTTACGTTTATCATAGATATCATTAAACATCACAGATCAGTCTCGATATTATACAGTATTGTGACGTAGCCATAATGATGCATGATATTGAGACTGATCTATGATGTTTAATGATGTTGATGACAAATACGTGTAATAATTTACAGTTATTTACCCATCCCTATTATTAACTGTTCACCAAGCAAAAATATTTGAAAAGCACAGATGCAAGTGGTCATGTGTTTGAAAGAATGCCAGCTGGCCAAAGATGCCAGAAATAAAAATATTATTCACAATGTATTCTGCAGACTTAAAGTCTTTTAATTAAATTTATTTCCAGCACCTTTGGCCAGCTAGCATTTTTTCAAACACATGACCACTTGCACCTGTGTTTTTCAAATATTTTTGCTTGGTGAACAGTTAATAATAGAGATGGGTAAATAACTGTAAATTATCCCATAGGTACTATGTAACAACCTGTGCTTTTTTTTCTAAATTATTCACACCGGTCTAGATGAAAATCATTTGACACATGATTTTCATATAGACTGGTGATTAACGTTAAGTTTTGATCTTTTAAAATTTTGTTTACAGTAAATCTTAATTAAAAGTAAAAGATCACAAACTAAGTTCACGATTATGCAATCAACTAGACTTAGTAATTCTTTACAGGTCTTAAAATAGTCATGTTTACTAGGTCGTAGGTTTTAAAATTGTGTTTTGAGGTCCAGTGGGTTTTAAAATTGTTATAGGAAGACAAATGACTATAATAGGTTCAAGGATTTTTAAAATTGTTATAGACAAACGAAGGACTTTATTAGGTTCGAAGGTTTTAAAATTGTTGTAAACAGGTGAAAGACTTTACTAGATACTGAAGGTTTTAAATTTGTTATAGCCAGATGAAGAATTTTAATTTACTTTATTAATTTTTTATTCAATAAAAAAAAGTTTTATTTAAATATTTAAAATATTAATTTATTTTTTTATTTTTTTATATTATTATCACGTTTTTTAATATTCTAAAAGGTTAAAAGTGAATAATGTTTAAAAATATCATCTAAGAGTAGTCTTGAATATGCCGAAGGTTCCAAAAATAATAGGAGAGCTTGAAGAATTAAATTCTTAAATTCGTTTTTATACTTGATAGCTTTATAAAACTGGTCGAGGCATGGCTATTTAATACACTTGTTATTGTAGTATTCTTTACACGAGAGATTCAGTTATTTTGATATTACTGTTGCTTGCATTCGATTTTTATTTTATTTTTTTTAAATAAAAAAATAAATAGATCAATTATTGAAATAAAGTTTAAATTACTACAGCAGCTAAAGTTTATTGGATGACGTATTGTATAAGTTGTTACGTCATACCCATGGGATAAACTAGTTATTTTATGAATATCGGTGAATACGGTGTATTCTACTGAATAATAGTAAACCACGTAGCCGAAGGCCACGTAATTTTACTATTATTCAGTGAAATATACCATATTCACCGATATCCATTAAATAACAAGTATCTATTTCATGATCAATCAGATAAATAGTCGTGAACTAGTTCATGATCATATTTGATCAATTTGAATTTGATTTGATCAAATATTTGATCAAATTTTGACTTGATTAACTATTTTGATTTCTAACTTAAACTTTGATTTGCTTTTGCGAAGCACTATGTTTAAATTACTTATGCTAATTTTTAAAAGTTTAGTCTATTGTACAAAAGGTTCTATATTTAGAATATACAGGTACTCAAATCTAAAAAATCAATAAGAATTCAAATCGAAGTTGAATCTATTGTTAAAGCGAGAAGTTTAGAATATCTAGGATTATGATCTGGCATAATATTCGCATAATTTACCTTTTAGCATATTAAATATATGTTTTGTATAATTTAAAGAAACTTGTATAATCTGTGCATAGATTAATTCTTTATCGTAAACTAGTTCACGATAAAAAATTAATCTATGCACAGATATCTTGTAATCTTGAGATTAGATTTTGATGATTTTGGTACTATTCAAATCATCTTATTGAGACAATTCGAATGGTACTAAAATCATCAAAATCTAATCTCAAGATTACAAGATATTGGGAATGTAGTATAAACAGAGTGTATAGTTTAATGGCGAAAGCAAAATTTTAAAGTTGATTGGATATGCATTATACAGATCACAATTTTTTTGACACTATAACTTTGGAGATCAACTTTCTTATGCATGACTACTAATTTGTCACTTTAACCCTTTATAGGCTGTTTTGTACTATCCAGGTTTTTTTTGGTTAGGTAGACAAACTGATACAAGTAAGAGGTATTAATATAATTAAATTTCTGAATTCTTGGCCATTTGATAAAGTCACATAAATAATATCAGCATAATCACATTTCTTGTAAAACATGAAATGTAGTATTACTGTTTGGGTTCAACTTTATGTGTTTCGCTTATGCAGATTTTTGCCAAATTCTTTTTTGA